CTACAACATAAAGATTCATGAGGGTGATGTTGATTTATAAATTTCAGTTTTTCATTATTTGTTATCCAAACATACTGGTTTTCTCTTGTTTTTGGTTCCCCAACTACAGTGCATGAGATAAATCATATTTTCACCTATTTTCTTCAATAGATGTTGTTGTCTGCCTTGTTGAGAATGAAAAACCGGAACATGCTGTTCTCCTCTCTCACCTACTGTCCTACAAGCTCCCACTCACTGCAAATACAGCAGTAGCAGGCGCTGGATCAAGCTGTGTGTGTGTTGTGCAGGTAAAACTGCCCAAATCTGCTGTTAGACAAATGATTATCTTTCAACCATGCTTTGACCACCAGTTGTGCTACTGTACTTGGCACATTATTTTACTATAGAGGTATGGTCTCTGTGCATGTGTATACTATGTATGTGCAGTGTGTGTAGGCGCCTGCAGAAAATAACAGCTAACTAATTGTGGAAACAGTCAAAAATTATGAACACATTGTCTGCTTTGCACACGCACATGCTTGCTAAGTTTCTTTCTCTCCCTCTCTCTCTCTCTCACACACACACACATACAACGAGAACAAAGGCGCCACAGGAGACATTGCAGTGGCAGATGAGCAGGCCACTTTTCAGCCATCTCTAACTCAACACCCCTCACCTCTTCCTCTGCTTTTTTCACATCTCAGCTCTTGCCAAAACATCAGTTTAGATTAAGGAAGTACTCACTTTGTGTGTGTTTATATGTGTGTGCATGTTAAGGACTACCTTATCGGTGATCACACATGGAGTGCAATGACATGCAAGTGTCCGGCTGGCCAAGGCTCATGAAAGATTCATGGTTTGAATAAATCCTTAAGTGGGCTCTGCTGGTAGGCCATGAAGTTTTTATACATTTATCTTATCCCAAATTGAATTACTTTCTTAAAAGCCTTAAAGTTGCACTTCATAGTACTTTTCCCTCAACTTTATTGAGCTTTATAGTGATTGTAGCCAATTGTTTTTCCAGCCTGCATCTTTAATGTTTGGTTCAGTCTCATCAATATAATTTCCAGATGGGGAACTAGCTAACTAACCAACTAGCCGCTGAACATAGTGGAGCATTTAGAGCAGTGCTTCCTAGACATTTTAGACCGTGGCACCCCCTTTGCAAGCACCTGTCCGTTAAGCTGTTATCCAGGTCATGTTGAGCCTGATTTTAGTTTTGTTGATGGGCTCACATTCAGTCGTCTCAAACTGTGTTGAGAACTTTTCTTTGAACTTTGATTTTCCATGTCAGACCTTTTCATTACTTATTCCTCTTTAAAAACTCCTGATTAGGAAACCGTGTACGTTATGTGACAGCCTGCAATGAGTTGTCATTATGTGCAGCATAACTGCATATCAAAAAGTCTAATTTTGATGTTTATTGCATTCTGTGTTCTGTTACTTTGACTGTAGCTAATGTAAAGTTTGCCATTCTTAATGTGATGACATGTTGTTAAATTATTATTAGCAGGCTAACGAGCTGGATATTTTTGTCAGAACTTGCTGAAGAGCAAACCAGTGCTAAAAAGAGAATAAATAGATTCATTTGGGGAATAGGAATACAGCTTCAAATGAAACTGTAATTGCTCCACATCTGCTAGATGCATAAATATCAAGTGTTTGCTATGTAACAAGTTCACTGTTTCAACTTTTAAAGCCATAATATATCACTGTTGTGTTTTGAGTTTGTTGTGCTGCCTGAAGTGGCCAACAACTCAATTATGTAGGTTTACAGCAATACTGCCATCATAGAGTGTACAAAATCAAAACGGTCTTTTTGGGTTAAATAGAACATTAGTCAAATGAAACATTCACTAAGTGAATGTACAGTTTTTGCTACTGTACAGGATGTGTCTTGGTGTCTACCTAATAAAAAGAGACAAATAATAAAGGCTATAAGTAAAGGGGTGCTCCAGTGAAGTTGTATTTCACTTCCACAAAACTGGGGAATTCATTCAAGAGACAATTTTTTGAACAGTGGTCAAAATATGTTCTGCAGGGACTGAGCTATCCTGACTTTTGGACTTTATAAAATTAGTTAACCATCCCTTTAATCCCTTTACTACAATACTTCTGCTGGTTATACACAATTAAAGGAGTAAAGCTATTTAGTTAACTGCAGTTGACTGTTTTGTATGTGGGGGTGAGAGATTAAATTTTATTGAGAACACTTAACACTTGGCTGTCCCTGTATCATGGTGTGTCACTCTTCCCCCTCCTCTGGCTTTTTGGGATTCCTATATTCTAATTGCCACAAAATGCATAAAAGGAATCAAGATAATCATACGATCCCGACTTGACCTCTTTTTCATGCTTCTTAAGAATGCATCTTCTATGGTGAACTAGAAACCTGACTAAAAATGGTATCACGAAGCTCGAAGGTGAAGTCAACTCTGAAGTCTTGCCAGCTACCCCAGGGCGTTTAGCAAGAGCAGATGCACTTACATGGGGAGAGGAACTGGAAATAAAATGAGAAGGGAGGATTAGAAGTAAAATCTGCTCATTCTTAAAATGCAGATTGTTTTACCACACTGCAGCAGAACTGTGGTTCACAGCTTGATGAATCATTAACAACTCTGCATGTGTCAGTGTGATGATGTGATTTCTCTGCAGTGAAGCAGAGTGCGTCGTCTATTTTAAAGCTTATTTACTGTCTCATATGGACAATTGTACTTTGCTATATTGAAACAGTCATTAACAACAAATTATTAAATATAAATGCTTTCATAGAAAACATCTGAATTTTATGTCTTTAACATAAATGTAATTTTAGGTGTTTTAAAGTGATGTAAATGTTGTAGTATGATAATCTACATTTTTACATTACATCTTTTAAGTGTTTTCAGTTTACTTTACTTTCCAGTCCTGAAGTAACATAGTAGTGTGCAGTTGCTTTATGACAAATGTCAGGTGGTTATAGCTTCTCGAATGGGAGGATATTCTGCTTTTTGTGGCTCTTATTACAGTAAACTCCAGATTTTGTACTGTTGGTCAGAAGAAAACAGCAACTCCAGATGTCTTAGGCAGATTCTGACAAGCTGTTTTCTGATGTTATATAAACCAAACAATGAATCAGTTAAACAAGAGTAGGTGGCAGATTACATAATGACAAAAATAATTGTTGTTAGTTGCAGCCCTATGGCAATGCACAGGTTCTTTCAAGCATTTTTGTGATAGAATTATAGAAGTAAGACTAGATGGAAGTTAAATTATCTCTGCCCATGAGTTGTATATTGGTTTATAAGCAGACTCAGATCTTTATGATGTGTTGCTTGTAATTGCAGGATGTATTCAATCCTAGGAAGTCTTAAAGTTAACAAGTTGAATGAGTTGTTTTGGAAACAGACTTTCAAACGAGATGAGATCAGTTGTATTTGTTCAAGATTTCTTTAAGGATTTGTCAAAAGTTCACAGGACTAACAGACAGAACCGAGCGCTCGTTTCATTGTGGTGAGTTCATAGATACCCAATGTCTCCCATCACTAAGCTGTCACTAATGTGCCAGGGCAGATTTCACAGCTGACATGCTGTCAATGTTCT